GGCTAATTTTTTGTATTTTTAGTAGAGACGGGATTTCAGTGTTAGCCAGGATGGTCTCGATCTCCTGACCTTGTGATCCACCGCCTCGGCCTCCCAAAGTGCTAGGATTACAGGCGTGAGCCACTGCTCCTGGTCTAGAAGTTTTCTTATACTGTTCATAGTTGTTACCTCCATCATATGATGGAAATCTATGCTACTTAAATCATTGACAGATGATCTCACCTTTTCTGTTAGTTACAGCTGTGAATGGTATTTCCAAGCATACTTTCCAATATTTTCTTGAGCATTTCATTCCGAAGGTTGCTACGACAGGTTCATTAAATGCCATACATCATTTAATCTTCAGAGTCACTACGTGAGATGCGTACTTTCACTTTCTTCGTTTTACAAAGAGGAAGTCTGGCGCCCAAGGGGGTGCTGTGTGGCTGCCGCGTTCAGCTCCCCAGAGAGCAGGCAGCAGGGCTGCTGCCGGGGTCTGACAGCCTCAAAGCGGAGCTCACGTCTGCCACACGGTGTGGCTGTGTGCGCATGAAGGCCAGGCCATTTCAATTCCAAATTATGACAAGTGTAAATTGTTATGTCATCAGGAAGATGTGGGATTTGGTATCTTTGATGCACAATGACTCTGTGATCCCATCGCCTACTTCAGAACTGGGGTGCGTAGCCCACTCCTCAGTTACACTTTGCAGGTCCTGATTGCTGTGCATGTCCTGTGGGGAAAGAGAACAGGGAGACATTTGATCATCAGTGCAGGGAGAAGCGTGTTCTAAGACCAACCCTCATCCCAGCTCCGACTTTCACCCCGCCATGACCCTCGCTGTGCCTGTGACCTGAGGGGTAATTTGCAGCACAGGCGGCGTTATCTTGGCTCCAGCACTCCGAGTGCCAGGGCCTCAGCTTCATGAGGCAGTGCTCTTCCCCGGGCTCCTGGGGTGCAGGTGGCTGTGGGGCTTTTGGGTACTTTTTGTTGCAATAATGTTTTCAGTCTGATATATTTATGTGTATATATGCAGGTGTGTGTGTCTGTGTGTGTGTATTTTCAGTAATATAGAAAAATATTGTTTTTATAAACAAAACATATATGCAAATATTGTTTGTATGAAAGAAAATATACCCTTTGCGGTGTTCCTAATCACACGTTCGTACCATAATTTCACGTGGGTTCAGTTAAACTAGAGCACAGGTTATCTATGGCACGTTGAATTCGTTGTCATAATGGTTAGTGAGTAAAACTAACCTACTATGACAAACACGACTTACAACTCTATGTAAGCAAACACCGTGTGTGTGTGTGTGTGTGTGTGTGTGTGTTACCAGCATACGCCCTAGCAGGTGCAGTCTCCTTCAGCAGGTATTTCCTAGGCTCACAGGTACCAGTGAATAATCCCTGGAACTATTAAAAGCAAACCTTTAAAACTTATGGGAAACTCTTAGATCTTCCAAAAAAAACCAAAAAACAAAAAACAAAAAAAACCCCCCAGACTTACAGAGAAATCTAGATCTGTTATCTCCAGATGTAGAATAAGTATGGATCTCTATACATGTATCTACCTACCATATGTGGCAATCAGCCCTGAGTTAGTCTACTCAAAGCCAGGTGGATGCCGATGTCCCATTCGGAGATCTTTGCCAACGAAGACTTCTTCTTCACTGGTTATGTCAGATTTGAGGAAAATGGGTCTTTATAGAAATAGCTACTTCATGGAATGGTGCTTGGTAATGACACTCCCTTCTTCACTGTTTGTTAAAAGTGAGAGTAACCTTGTGAAGAGGCTGAGCCATTATTATTTTACAACTGAGAATATTGGCAGAAGCCTGGAGAAATGCAAGCTAGTTGGAAGGTTTTACTACCAAGTAAAACTACATTCCTGTCAGAGCCGGTGCAGAGGCAAAGATATATGCGGTCTTTTGTTTAACTTTTAAAGGAATGAAAAGCACATACCCTAGGTTAGCTAAAGATCAGTGTGCCGGGTAAAATCCACTCAGGGTGGTTTCTCTCTCTCTGCTAATACATTGATATGGACCTGATTGTACATGGTTATGGGCATGATGAATCTGAGGGGAAGCTTCTGAGCTTAATGTGAATTGCAGCACAGTTTATAACCAAGTGACAAAAACTCGATCACGGAATGCCTGACAGTGCTGTACAATGTGTAAGTCATTCCTCAATAATAGACTGTCTGAGAGAAGTCAGGCATTTCAAAGACGGGATCCTCACCCCTAAGAGGGAGCGGAGTCCTAGATGGGGGTGAGGTGAGCTCCGGCGTAGAGCCTGGGCCCCTACTGCGTCCGTGCAGGCCCCACTGAACCTGAGGACGGGACCTGCCTCCGACCCCAACTTGCCTTGGGTCAATTTGTAAATTACGTGCCATACCCATCCAGGTCCCACGATATAGGGTTTCAGACGGAGCGGTGGGAAGGTAGGAAGGTGGAAGTGGGGGGAAGGTGGGAAGTTGGGAAGGTAGGAGCGGTGGAAAGGGGGGAAGGTGGGAGCAGGGGGAAGGTGGGAAGGTGGGAAGGTGGGAGCGGGGGGCAGAAGGTGGGAAGGTGGGAGTGGGGGGAAGGGTGGGAAGATGGGAAGGTGGGAAGGTGGGAAGGCCGGGACCAGCAAGGCACAGTCTCGAGGGGACCGGCTGTTTCAGCAAGAGGATGAGTCAATTTTCTTTAAAGCAGAGCAAGGAGCCATAAGAAAGGGTGTTTGGGGATGAAAATAAAAAAGGATGAAGAGTCTAGAGGAGCCATCAGAACTTGCACGGGATGTGTTGTTCAAGAAGCAGATTTGTGGTCGGAAGCTTTGGAAAGAGGGGACCTGGGTCTGAGTGACATGCGTGGCCGCTCCTGCCTCTGTGTTTGGACCGTGTGGGCCTGTCCTATACTTCTGTGTCTCCCCACTCCTAAGCTAACCACGGCTCTGCTCCTTCTGTGACACGTGGCAGTGTGGGAAACAGCCGCTGTCCCCTGTCCCTGCTGTTCCTGGTGTCACCCAGCACCAGGCCTCTCTGGGAACCAGGGCAGGTCATCCTCCCTGTGGTTCCGGCCCCTGCTGCTGGCCACGTCCTCCGTGACGCTCACGGCCCTTCTGTGCTTCCCCTCAGCTGAGATCAACGCCATCAGTGAGAACACGGAGACACTGCGCCTGGGTCCGCACGTCACCACCGAGTACGTGGGCCCCAGCTCGGAGAGGAGGCCCGAGGTGTGCGAACGCTCCTGCGAGGAGCTGGGGAACATGGTCCAGGAGCTTTCCGGGCTCCACGTCCTCGTGAACCAGCTCAGCGAGAACCTCAAGAGAGTGGTGGGTGCCCGCGCGGGGCTGCAGGGGTCACAGGGCACGGGCAGATCCGCCACTGGCCCATCTCGGCGGATCTCAACACTCCTTGGCCTGGCAGTGCCTGGTGCTCGATGTAAAAACCCACAGTTCTCAGGGGAGGCGTCTGCTGGGACCCTTGCTCAATATTCAGCGTTGTTAGAGGGAAGTTGGGTAGATCTAGGGAAGTATTCCCAAGGAAAACAGTCCTGGGCACAGTCTCCAAAGTACATTCTTAATTTGGGGAAATTTACCTCCTCGGTAAATCTGTAGGTACAAGTGTACACACACACACACACACACACACCTGCAGAGAAAAATACTTTTATTTAAAGGACTGCATGTTGGAGTAGCTGAAGAAGCAGGATGAGAAGTCCCCGTGAGGCTGGCAGGAGTGAAATGGGTTTTAGCAGCACAGCGTGGCCAGGAAGAGCGAGGGATGCCTGCGGGGCTCAGGACGGGCAGCTTGCAGTTTAGAGAAAGGGACTGAACATAATGAGGTGCTCTGGGCCACGGTGCCCCACGATGTCCACATGGCTAACCAGGCTGCAGTGATGCTGACTTGTACCTAGAGGACACGAAGTAAATGATGCCAGGAGATGGAACCCGGGGCAAGGAGGGCCGCGAGGGCAGCAGCCCAGGGCAGGGAGGGTGGCGAGGGCAGGAGCCTGGGGCAGGGAAGGCGGCGAGGGCAGGAGGTTGGCTGTATCCCTGCCTGTCCTTACGGCTGCTGCCTGGGGACCTTGTTCTTACCCGCAGTCCCACCTTGGGTTCCCATTGAAGGAGTCCCAGCATTGCTCTGCACTGACCCCGGTGTGATGTGAGCCGCGCAGTTTCCCCTCCCCTGAAAGGCAGGTGGATGGGTCGCCGCAGAAGCCCAGGCAGTGACAAGCTGTGGCACTGGCTCAGAAAGCTCCGTGAGGATGGAGGGTAGCTTCTGGAACTTCCTCCCAGGGACAAGTCAAGTCCTACTCGACTTTAGAGCTTTTTAATGAAGGAGGAACTTTGTTTTTCATCCACAAGCATGATGACTAGATATGTTGTTTTCTTGTCTATACTTAAATGTTTCACTTGATTTTCCAGTCGAACGATAACCAGTTTCTCTGGGAGCTCATTGGTGGCCCTCCTAAGACAAGGAACATGTCAGCTTGCTGGCAGGATGGCCGGTTCTTTGCGGAAAATGAGACGTGGGTGGTGGACAGCTGCACCACGTGTACCTGCAAGGTGAGGCCCCAGAACACGGCTCTGGGGGGAGGAGGCCACGACTGGACACTCGGCAGAGCTTGACTGCCTGGAAATGCCAGCGTTCAGTGCGGATGTGTAAAACCTGTTCAGCTGTGTGAGGACATCCGAGTGTAAGAACCACAGACGGGCCAGGAACCATATTTATGACTCGAATCAGCCTCTTTGTTTGCACATAAAGAACCAGAGCCCAGAGAGGGGGGAGCGACCTGGCCAGCGTCACCAGTGGGTTAGAAACAGGAGGAACAGAGAAGCCAGACGTGGCCCTAGACTCTGCATTTAATTCCATTCGGTTCTGACAGAGCCTGAGGCTCAGCAGAAACATTTGGGGGAAATACAAGCCACTGCCTGAAGTCTTATAGACAGACAATTTAGCTTTTAGTGTTACTCTATTTCTGTAACAATGGCCTCAGAGTTGCCTTAGATAACGGGAGTTCCTGCTGCCTGTCTTTTCTTCCCTCCTTCCAGGAAACATGGGGCTCTCTATTGCTTCCTTGCTGCTCAGTGAAGGGAGAAAGGAACGGAATGGACGCAAAGAGCCATCTGGGGGCCCTGTTCTTGTTAGGCTCTGAGCACTAATGGGAGAAAAAGATGCCCTTAATTTTCACATCTCTGTTTGTAATGTACGGTCCGTAGGATGGAAAACGTTCAGCCATTCTGTCGACTCCTTCTAGTCTCAGCCCTTGTACCAACATCCCCTGCTTTTAAATGAGTGTTTCATACATGCCTTTCTTCACTTGTAGAAATTTAAAACCATTTGCCACCAAATCACCTGCCCGCCCGCGACCTGCGCCAGCCCGTCCTTCGTGGAAGGCGAATGCTGCCCCTCCTGCCTCCACTGTGAGTATCGCCAGCTGGCGAGCACATCCTGCATTTTTAGGACGTCCATGCTTGTTTGTTTATTGATTCATTGGTTGGTTTTGGCAGAGAAGAGTGAGGTTCAGCCCCATGAGGACAGGTGAGGGAATCAGGGGGCCACCCCAGGCCACTGGTCGTCCACTGAGGACTGACTCGTGGCCAGAAAAGAGAGTGGAAGCCCTGGGAACGTGGGGGTGGGAAGGCCTGTCCTGATGCTTCTCAGATGAGGAAGCTGAGCCCAGGGGTCATGCAGGTGAGCCCAGAACAGGCCTCGATGGAGCCCCAGCTCAGTCAGAGAACCCACGTAGGTCTGTGACTGTGTTACGGCGGCGAGCAATCACTGTACACATACTCCTGGATAAGAACCATAGGAAATCAGACAAACAAAAACCAAAGACTGTTACCCCAGGAATATGTTCTAAGTGATAGAAATACGTTCCAAGGAACAGAACCTGAGACAGAGAGGAACCACGCGTGGACACCCTGGAGGTCCCGGGCCACCCTGGAAACTCAGTGCACGTTCAGAGACTGAGTTGACCCCAACGCTGCCCTCGGGTCTCTGTGCTGCCTCCCACCCCTGCCCCGAGTTCCCTTCCCAAGTTGGCTCTGCTGACCCCACCCAGAGCTCCTGAGCCATCCATGGCTCCCCAGTGCCTTGCCATCCAGGCAAGGTGCTTCAGGTCCACCCCCCAAGTTGCTGCTGCACTAAGAGCAGGCAACGCTTCTCCCAAACTAAACTAGTCACCATCCCCCAAACATTCCCAGAATGTCCCTGTGGCCCCAGAGCTCTGTCATCCTCAGGACACCTTAACTCTGATGCGGACAGAGAATGAAGGGACTCAGAGCTCACGCTCTGCCACTCTGTGATTTTGAATACAATGGGATTTTTCTGAGTTTCAGATTTATTGCCTGTAAAATGCAGAAAATGTATCCCCTATACGGTTAGTCTTATAATGAAAATCAACAATTCAGTACGCGTAAAAGTGCCTGTTAGGTATTCACAAAGCCAGATTGCTCCTGGCACAGCATAAAAATATAATCTTGATAATTAAATGGCCCACATTAGACTAGAAGGAGGTATCTTATGTTACCAAGAGCATCATAACCAGGAAAAGATCGCCTTGACCATTTTTCTTTTCTTTTCTTTTCTTTCCCTGCTTTCTGGAACACTGAGTCATGGCACATTCATTGGGTTTCTCTCCTTACGGGAATGATTTCTTGCATCAGGTTGCTCTTTCTTTCCATTTGGGGGCTGTGATTACCCGTGAGGAATTTCTTTACAGGGAATCTCCTTTTTATTAGCTTGTTTCAGTTTACTTGGAAATAAGTGACCTGTAATTTTCACCAATAATTGAAATGTTTCACTACATTACGTAAATCAGTGAACAGAGGTTAAATGGAAATACATTAAGTCTTTATAACTTTAATGAAACCTCAGGTAGAAAAGATTCAGCACTGTCTTTGGCAAGCTATTTTATAAAATCGATTAGAAGACTTTCCTGGACACACACGGATTTAGCTCCCCGCGGCACCCAACAGTAGACCCGGAAATGCGTTTCTGCTCTTCCCTTGAAAGGCAGCCCCTGAAGTCCTGTGCTGGTCACAGACTTGGGTCCCACAGAGCCACAGCCCAGCCACCGGGACGTCCACCTGCCCCAGCCAGGCAGTGGCTCCTCAGACTCCTGGATGCATGAACCGCGGCCCCCCGCCAGCTGCCCTGTGCCCGTTCTGTTCTGTGGCACGTCTGCGAGGCAGGGCCTGATTCCACCATGTTTGCTTCCTCTGGCAGCGGTGGACGGTGAGGAGGGCTGGTCTCCGTGGGC